TCATCTGGGGTGGAGTGGCTGGGTGGCCGGAGGACCCCCCACCGTGTTCTTGGGCGTCTGGGTGAGGAGGCTATGGAACTTGGGGAGGAGGGCTGTTGGTTACACAGGGGCTGTAGCGGCGGTCTCTGCTCCTGCTGCCTTTCCTGCAGCTCAACCATACGCTGGAGCATTTCAGTTTGATGCTCCAGCAGCCGGAGCATCGACTCTTGCCTTCTGTCAGCAAGCTGACGCCACCTATCCTCTTCAGCCCGCCACTTGCTCTCTTCAGCCCGCCACCTCTCCTCTCGTTCATATTGTGCTTTTTTGCACTCTGACATTGACTGCCTCCACGCATTCTGCTGTGCTCTTTCAGCGTGGGAGGACATCTGGAGCTCCGAGAACATATCATCCCGAGTCCGCTGTTTTCTCCTTCTAATCTTCACTAGCCTCTGCGAAGGAAAAACATTTGCAGCTGGTGGAGGAGAAGGGAGAGGTGGTTAAAAAAGACACATTTTAGAGAACAATGGGTACACTCTTTCACGTTAAATTTTGCTGTTCACATTACACAGCACATGTGCTTTCTTTACAAGGTCGCATTTTTCCTCTTATATTGAGGGCCTGCCGGTTTGGTGTGAGAGATCACTCACGCAGTGCCAGGCAACAGAATTCTGCTTGCAGGCAGCCATGGTAAGCCACAGTCTTTTGGCTTTTTTAACCTTCATAACATGTGGGAATGGTTTCAAACAGCAGCGCCCTCATTTCCCATACAAAGGACCCGTTGGGTTGAGCATTTAAAATGGGTTTGCAATGTAAAAGGAGGGGCTGCGGTTTCCGGGTTAACATGCAGCACAAACCCAACTACCCCCACCCCCCCACACACACCCAATTCTCTCGGATGATCACTTCACCCCTCCCTCCCACCACGTGGCGGGGAACATTTCTGTTCAGCCGAGCAGGAACAGGCACCTCTGAATGTCCCCTTAATAAAATCACCCCATTTCAACCAGGTGACCGTGAATGATATCACTCTCCTGAGGATAACAAAGAGCGATAAGGAATGGATGTTGTCTGCATGCCAGCAAACACCGGGACCATACGCTGCAATGCTTTGTTATGCAATGATTCCAGACTACGTGCTACTGGCTTGGCGTGGTAAAGTGTCCAACCATGGCGGACGGGATAAGGCAGCCCTCCCCAGAAACCTTTTGCAAAGGCTTTGGGAGTACATGAAGGAGAGCTTTCTGGAGATGTCCCTGGAGGATTTCCGCTCCATCCCCATACACGTTAACAGACTTTTCCAGTAGCTGTACTGGCCGCGATTGCCAGGGCAAATTAATCATTAAACATGCTTGCTTTTAAACCATGTGTAATATTTACAAAGGTACACTCACCAGAGGTCCCTTGTGTGCCCTCAGGGTCTGGGAGCACGCCTTGGGTGAGTTCGAGGGTTACTGGTTCCAGGTCCAGGGTGATAAACATATCCTGGCTGTTGGGGAAACCGGTTTCTCCGCTTCCTTGCTGTGAGCTATCTTCATTGTCTTCATCATCATCATCTTCCGCGTACCCCGAACCCGCTTCCCTGTTGCGTGATTCTCCATTGATGGAGTCAAAGCACACGGTTGGGGTAGTGGTGGCTGCACCCCCTAGAATGGCATGCAGCTCCGCGTAGAAGCTGCATGTTTGCGGCTCTGCCCCAGACCTTCCGTTCGCCTCTCTGGCTTTGTGGTAGGCTTGCCTTAGCTCCTTAATTTTCACGCGGCACTGCTGTGCGTCCCTGTTATGGCCCCTGTCCTTCATGGCCTTTGAGACTTTTTCCAATATTTTGCCATTTCGTTTACTGCTACGGAGTTCAGCTAGCACTGGTTCGTCTACCCATATGGCGAGGAGATCCCGTACCTCCTGTTCAGTCCATGCTGGAGCTCTTTTGCGATCCTGGGACTCCATCGTGGTTACCTGTGCTCTCCACGCTGGGCAAACAGGAAATGAAATTCAAAAGTTCGCGGGGCTTTTCCTGTCTACCTGGTCAGTGCATCTGAGTTGAGAGCGCTGTCCAGAGCGGTCACAATGAAGCACTGTGGGATAGCTCCCGGAGGCCAATAACGTCGAATTCCGTCCACACTACCCCAAATCCGACCAGCAAAGGCCGATTTTAGCGCTAATCCCCTCATCGGAGGTGGAGTAAAGAAACCGGTTTAAAGGGCCCTTTAAGTCGAAAAAAGGGGCTTCATCGTGTGGACGTGTCCAGGGTTAATTCGATTTAACGCTGCTAAAGTTGACCTAAACTCGTAGTGTAGACCAGGCCTCAGAGTCTCAAAGTTACTTGGCTCATATGGGTGTGAACTAGAGCAGAATTTCTGCCCAATTTTGCACAGCTAGGCTGGGCATTGTACCAATTACCATGAGGATCTAACAAGCAACTTTTGGTGACTTAAATTTAAGCTTACTTAAGTTTCCATAGTCTCAGCTAATCAGCACCATTTATTATTACTGATATTTCTATCATCGTAACAATTCAAGATCCACTTATAGGGACTAGAGCCTCATCCTATTTGGCGATGTACAAACAACTATCACAAAAACAGTCCTGGATCCAGAAAACTTTCAGTCAAGACTTTAGACAATATGTGGCAGGAAAGAAGGGGAGGGAAGAGGAGGTCAAAGTTATAGTAGAGACAGACTCACTGGCCACAGCTGCTTGCCTACCCAACGAATACCAGACACCAGTGACTCGTAGCCATCACATAGGTTTTAAAGAAAGATTTTAAAAAAGATAGGTGATCCCTTTCCAAATGTGGATGGGGATTTTGTCCAAGCATAACGGAGGAAGCACAAAGGTGTTTATGTGAAAAAGCAGGCAATCAAGGCTGGTTTCACTGGCAGAGCGAAGGCGGGGACTTAACCTCGCAATGAAAAATTAGATTTTTGAAAGGCAGAGTAAGGCTCTATGTTGGAGAGCATTAATAAGGATGATGAGAAGCTTGCACATGGTGCATTGGAGAGCAGGGAACAAACAGGAAGACATGAAGAGGGGGCAAAGGGGCTTCTTGCAGTTTTTCTGACATAGCTCATTATTCTGTTCAAGCAATTAGGTGTTTGTTTTTTTAATTAACCTTGCCGCCATAGCTGCTATAAATCGACACAGCTAACTTGATGTCAATGAAGCTAGGCTGATTAATGCCAGCTGAGGAGCTGACCCAAAGAATTTAATACAGACTTATATCCCTGCTGTAAGATTCACCAGGGGGGTGAGACTTCATCAGCCATAATCGCAAGTGTGTGTGTGTGTGTGTGTGAGAGAGAGAACGAACATATGCCTAAGCTTATGAGTTAGTCAGCTCATGAATATTAACTGCCCCCACCTGGTGATGGTTTTTCTGCTGCAGTAGAGAGCCGTCATATGATGACACTGATTGTGTAGCAGTGATACTAGGCGAGCAGTCTAGATATGTGCTCCAGAAAATGTGGGACTGTTTATTATTGTCAAAATATTCCAAGTGTTATGGGGAAAATATATATCCAGCCACAAACAAAAACATCTTCCCTTCTTGCCTCATTCGAAATGTTAATACCCCTCACTTACAGAGTACACTTATCAGAGCGCAGATGGCAGTAAGTAGCATTAAAGATGTGAAAGCATCAACAAAAACTTAAATTCATGTGGTGAAATGAAAAAAGCTTCAGTCCTCCTGATCTCTTCTTTGAGCCACAATTAATACATAGGTTTAATATTAAAATGGCTATTTCCCCTTCCTTCCAGCCATAGATTCCTATCTTGTCCCACTTCCACACCCTCAACACTCTCACTCTCTCTCTCTCTCTCGCTCTGTATTTTTCATAAGCAAACCAGCAAGATAACTTGGTGCCTCATTTGCCTGTGTTTACCAAGTCTTCAAAATATCCAGCTTCCCTCCGTGCTGTCTCGAGATGACTGCTCCTCCTTCACAGTAGATTTATTTCACTTATTTAGAGGCAGACAAGACTATAATTCTTAATATGTTGCTGTCAGCCATCTGCATTTAATCAGAGAAACAAAGTTGGGGCCTGATCCTGTACGGTGCTGAACATCACCTGAGAGCTGCTGAATTGCCTCTACTTCCACTGAAATCAGTGGGGCTTGGGAGCACTCGGTACCTGGCAGAGCAGATGTTAACACACAAAGCTGAGTAAACTTAATAGTAGGGGATGTTTTATATGGAAACCTATAGGGTTTTATGCCCTTGTTTTATATGCAAACCTACAGGGGCTAGTTTGTCAGTGTTCAACTGGCTTTTGGCACTAATGAGCTGCAATTCAGCTTGTTTGCAGTGCTAATTAGCGTATAGTTGATCATTTTTGTCCAGAGGTGGTCACAAGCAGCAAAATTTGGATCCTGATCCAAAGCTGTCCAAGATCTGAGTGTTCAGTTCTGGGGTTTGATTTGGACCCATTCCTACTTCTGAGAAAAAGAGAGTCTTGACTCATAAAGGGAAAGTATTAGATTCAGTGCTGTGGGAAAGCCGCCAAAAATGGAACTCATGAAAGTTGCCCACTTCAAGCCTGTGGGGAGACCATACAGAAATGAGATTTAAGAGAAGGCACTTTCTACATAATAGAGATACATTCCATGCAGTGTATATAGGCAGACAAGTTATTGTAGGAAGCATATAAATATTCAGGAGCCCTATATTTAAGGTAATTGCTTACAATCATGCTAATGATTTTTTGCATTTCTGCCATCAAGATGAAAAAATGAATTATACTGGACTCTGTGTTGAAAATATAATTAACTGATCGAATACATCTTAATGCTGCTGTTGATGTAATCAGTTAAACTAAGTCATCCAGGCAACCTGCTCTTCAAAGTACAAGGTGACATGAGTAAATGAGTATTTTGCTGAGGACTGTGTAATTTAATTTATAATCTGATATTTTGTAAAGGTGTGATATTCATAAAATACATTTTAACTGTAGTTCACTCGTGTGAAAAAACATTGAAATCTAAGATGCCTTTTATTGATTTTTCCCCCCATTCCACCCAACAGAAAATGCATGTTTTCAAAAAGACATTGCAGGCTTTAATCTATCCAATCTCATCAACCACTCCTCATAACTTCGAAGTGTGGACAGCTACAACTCCCACATACTGTTACGAATGTGAAGGTCTCCTTTGGGGCATAGCCAGACAAGGCATGAGATGCACTGAATGTGGTGTCAAATGTCATGAGAAGTGCCAAGACCTCCTAAATGCTGACTGTTTGCAGAGTGAGTATTTGGTGACAGCTGATTTTTTACAATGCTTCATGCCTTTTGACATACTATATATTCTAACAGACGCCCACTGAAATGAAGGGCCAGATCCTCAGTTGGTGAAGTCAGTGGAATTATGCTGATTTACACCAGCTGAGGATCTGGCCAGCCATCAAGGAAGCACCTGTTGTTAATTTGGTTTGGTCATTTGAATAATTTAGTCAGTTGATTCTGCTGATCCTCTGCTGTTCGGTTACAAATAATATCTTATGACACTGATATATTGTAAACATTCTTTTGCAAACAATCTCGCCAAAAACAATTGAAATTATGTGACATAATGCCCTGTTCATTTTGTTTCATTCAAAATCTAGGAAAACATCAGAACAAAGATAAAAATGAAAATGCTGCTGCTAGTGATTACAGTCACAGTAATGTACTCTCTGTAATCGCATTCCCTCATTAAAATTCTCCCTGAGTAGCCACAGTGAAAATATGTTAATTGTTGTCATTGGGATTAAAAATTGGGGAACTGAGCCACAAGTCCACCCAATTTAGGCTTAATCAATTTTTGCCTTTATCTATACAATTTCAGACAGAATTATTGTCACTTATAGTGTCTGGAGGTACATTTATGCCAGACAGATAATAACAGACAAGACAGATTTGGTAAATGGTCCCCTGTTACTACATTCGGGGATAGGAGCAAGTTCTTCCATCTTCCATGATAGTCATCACTCTCTCTGACCCCTAGATCTGGTCCTTCCATCCCATTCTTCAGTTTCTGGTCTGGTTTCTCCAGTTTCTCCAGTTAAGGGTCCATGTTCACTTAGGCCTTTTCTACTTTTCTACATTTCTACATTACAGATTACTTAATCTTTATCTAATTGGCTTTTAGCGCATTAACCCGTACATTACATGTGCGCAAGCTTCAGTAACCCAACTTCTGCATTTTTCCTTACGGCTTTGCAGTTTCTGGGTTGGTTTTGTGTCACCCTGCCCTGGCTTTTCCCAGAAAAGGGAGAGGGGTATTTATCATTACTTGTTTGTGTATCTTTTACTTACATCTTTCAGCATGACATGTTACCTTTGTTCTGTCAGCAAGAACATTTTAAGAAGATTAGCAATGCTATATAAAAAGAACTGGGAAAACCACACTTATGCCAGAAAGGACTTGGCCTAAGTGTTACCTCATCTGTGCTCATTTACTATACATAATTACAAATAATTAAAAATATAGCTATCAAAGCTCTTAATCTTACCATTAACAATTTTTCATTTTATATTTCAATGCTATAAATCAGTATATGTTTTTCAGTGCTACCCTTAATCTATTAGAAAGGGGGTCGGGGTGTGGAAAATATGATTCTTTAATGTTGACATTTCTTATGTGTTTCTTTCATTCAAAGTCCAGTTTTATGTGTGATTCACTACTAAAAATCTTCATTAGAAATTTTCCTGTGAATGCATTTTGGGGGGGTATCTCAATTTTAGGGCCTTTATATTTTGTTGCTTTCAATTGTACCCCAACAGTAATAAATAAATATGAATGTACCAGCTGTAAAAATGATGGAGTTCTCCCATTGAGAAATCTGCTGTTTGGAGTGGTTGTAATAAAGGAAGCTTAATGAATACATGTGGCCTGATACATAATGTTTATTGTAACAGTTAGGTGCATTTTCCATCCAATGTATCTGCAAAAGTACAGAGTGCAATTAAAATTGCAGCCCTCTTTGAAATAGTTGTTAACTCTCTGCCGCAGTGTCTCAGGGGAAAGAACCCAGAAAAGAAGCAGAAAAAACAAAATAATGCAGTAAAAAGTATCTCTTCAAAAGAGCATAGTGCTTCTATTTATGGAGAAAATATTAGACAGGACCATAGTACACAAGTACTTTTCAACCCCCTTTCCCTTTTATCTGTTATGTGGCATTGTTGCCTCTATTCATTACAAAATGCTTATCATCATAGCAACTCCTGCAACAAATACATTCATTTTTTAAACAAATATTTATTTATAATGATCTATTTATGGAAATAATTACTTTCTTGACCTTGTAATCTAATGGTTTCAGTACAGTTTTTCCCCTCTAAAATAAGGCAAAAGTGTTATCTCAGCAGTATTTAAGAGATAAGGAAGTGCTGCATACAATTTCTTTCTTTTCCCCCTCAATCCACTCAAGCGTTTAGTAATTTACCTTGTTTTACTGGGATGAAACTCATTAATAACACAAAGGGATATTTCATTGGCATTTAAAGCTCAACACCCTTGTTACAATCCTTGCAGATTCTGTTTTTGGTAACTCCCAGCCCTGTGTTTGGGATTGGGATGAATCAAAGGCCTCCCACTAATGCACTATTACCACATTGGATTCCTGCCATCAGGAATACTAAAAATTAATTAGGATAATCCCCTGCCAAATGATAAGCCATCTTCAGATAGCTGATAGAAAAGCTGCTGAGCCCATATCAGATAGATGCACTCCATATTTACAAGCATAGCAGGGTACTATACTTTATGCCTCTGTGTCTAGTGACTAACCTTCCTTCATCGCCGGAGTGAACTTTGCTACCCTCTTTTGTCCCATTTATGGCCCAATTGACTCTGGCCACCCTGAGCATCCCTCCCAAAAACTAACTTGGGAACATTTTTAGATCATACTAAATTTGGTAGTGTTTTATACCCACTGTGCATTCTGTGCAATGCAAGGCAGTAGGGAATCAGGACCTGCCACATTTGTGACTTGTCAACTCTGAGGCTGAAAAGAGACTTTTTTGGCCCCTGGTATATGTTATAGCAGCCCTAGGGTTGCTCTATCTTATGCATAGCCATCATGTCCTCGAGGGACCATTATAGCAGCTAGGTATAGCCAGAGTATATTAATGTTCCAGCCACACCCTCTCTCTCCCAGCCATACTCTCTATGCCATGGGTTATGATGCTGGATGGCATAGAGCCGTTCTCCAGCTTTACGACACCCAAGGATTCCCACTACGCAGGGGGAATTGCCAGCTGACCAGATGCATAGACTCAAAGGGGCCATAGTGATATGGAGAATTTGCAAATCAAACAGTGCCTAACCTTGGTTCCACATTATGGTTGAAACTGAGCTAGTAGCAACCTTGTTTGACACCTGTATTGCTAGTATACTTTAATTAAACAGTATGAAAAGAAGGTTGGTTTGTTTGTGCTGAAAGTCATGTTATAAAACTATGTATGGTGTAGACTAGGGTTGCTGCTGGCATGGTTTCAAGTTTCAGCCATGTTTAATGTAAACAGGATGCTAACAAATAAGTCTTTTAACAAGCGTGCAGAACTTCTGTTTCCTGGGCAGAACATGCCCTGAGTAAGAGGAGTGTATACTCTTTAATATATAGCAAGTGTCACATCCTGTCTACTCTCATTTGACCAATTGACATATTTGATTCCAGCAACATTTTAAGACTCCATCTAAAAATAATTCATTGTGTATCAGACCATTGATCTCTTTCAGTTCTGTGTGGTGATTTGGTGTAGTAGGTCTATTGGGAATCACTTGGCTTATACTGCTCTGGTTTTCAAGCATAAAAATGAAATAAAGTTGCCAGGTTGTCATGTTGCTGGCAACAGAATATGTGCAAGTAATTTGTCGACTAGCTGCTTATCACCCTCAATGCAAGAACCAAGGAACGGTGAGCTGCCATACTTAAAATTTTAGATTGCCTCTTTTTCCATTTTTATAAGTATTGGATCCAGATCGCACCCTCCCACAGAAAAGCCAAAAGGCCAGCAATAGGCAAACTCCACAAAGTGCCCGTCGTGGAATTTTCCCTAAATTGTTCTATCAGAGGTTCGCCTCCTGATAGAATGGGCAGGGGTACTAGAACCAGAACTTGCAGATCTTGGGAGATCCATATGGATATCGGCAGTCTAATAGAAGTCTGTCCCATCTGCATCTGCTTCAGGGAATCTTGTACCACTGAATTTGGAGCTGTGCTGCCAGGGCTTTTTGCACCTACCGTTGCTTCTAGAATCCCCACCCTCTTCTGTGGCACTGAGAGGACTGCACAAAAAGAGCAGTGGGAATATCTGTCTCCTACAAATACTATGCATGGATCTTGGACCTTGGGTAGAGTTGTATTCCTGGTCCAGGAGGAAGGGATGTCACTGCTGGATGGCTGTACCCTTTTTTTGCATTGGAAGGGGGAACTCTTCTACATGCAAATCTAGGAAGGCAGGGGCAACATGATCTAATTGTTTAGAAGCATTTTTAGCTTATATAAGAAAAAATATCATTGCAGAGTAAAAGATTCACTCCTTTATCTGAGAGAATGCATATTCAGAACATTGTAGTTTAACATTAGTTGAAGTGAAATGATGAGCGATCACTCGTTACCGAGTATGATCATCTTCCATGGGAGTTATGGTGGTTAATAAGGCCAATCCTTGAACCACAAGTTCTATTACAATGAGGGCAGGAGGCTGTTGACCATGACTGGGGACCAGTCTCTCCTTCCTCCTTCGCCTCTTGTCCTCTTTGAACTTGCTCGCTGACAAGCCGAAATGCAGGGGACCATCACATAGTAGTTTACTCCATTTTAAGCGATCCTGGGCAAGTGTCTCCCAGGTATCAATGTCAATATTACATTTTTTTAGATTGTCCTTCAGCAAGTCCTTATAACGCTTCCATTGTCCATCCACGTTACTGTACCCTTCTTTCAGCTGAGAGAACAGGACCAGTTTTGGGAGGTGATGGTCTGGCATCCGGACAACATGACCAGTCCAGCGGAATTGCTGACAGATGATCATTGCCTTGATACTGGTGGTATTTGCCTCTTCCAGAACACTACTATTGGTGCGCCTGTCTTCCCATTTGATCTTCAGAATCTTACGAAGGCAGCGTTGATGGTGCCCCTCAAGGACTTTCAAGTGGTGTCTATAGGTTGTCCACATTTCGGACCCATACAACAGTGTTGGGAGAATAATGGCTTGATAAACAAGAAGCTTGGTGTCTGTTCGAATGTTGTGATCTTCAAAGA